ATTTGTTTCAAGGGAGTTGATGAAAAAACAATTATTGCCAGTGAGGTTTTCTTTTTAAGTATGCTTTCTTGTGGATTATTGTTGATCTGTGGAAATGGATTTGATTTTTGGATATTGATCATATACCCAGGGTACTTCTGTTTGTATCTTTGAAAAGAAGTTGATAAAATCTCAAGTTGGTGATTTTGTCTTGTGCGTGTGTGTTTGTGGATGCTAGTGTATGTTTTGGAGCATCCTAATACGTTGAAGATGGGTTTTTCAAATTTTCTAAGTCATTACTAGATTGATTGAGACTGGGGGAACCCCTGAAGCTACTGCCTGGAATAATCTTAGAAGCAGGAAACCATGCTGTCCCCATGAGAACATCATTAAATGAAAAAATACAGAAATACAGCTTAGCTCATCTAACCAGAAACGTTTGCCTTGAATGTTGCACGCTCATAAAAAACAAAAACAAAAAATCCTATGTGAGTGTAAACTGGTAGCAGTTCATCTAAAACACAAGCAAACTTTATGAGGCAGAGAGTCTAATGATGAAACAGTATGGGTGCAGATACATGTGATGTAACTAAAGCCATCGAACTTGTGAATAGATGTGTGTTTGGTTGTGTATATTGCTACTGGAAATAAAGAAATAACGAAGAATTATTTGTATATCTAAAGACCGACTAATGAGCATGTTTCCTTTTTAAAATACAGCCCACTGTATAAATAAACACACATAATCTTAAGTAATTTTTTTTTTTCTTTTTTAGTTTGTGCACGGATTTAGTAGTGTGGAGATTTTCTTTTTAAACACTGTAGAGCTGAAGCCAAAATTGCAAAGCATTCCACAAGCTATAGAAGACCAGTCCTGTTTCCTTTCTCCTTAAAAACAGCTGTCGTTAGTTCTAAATATATATATTTCATTTTTTTATGAACCTTTTTAAAGCCCCCTCATCTTTCAGTTGATTTTTGGTAAAAATATACACAGCCAAACCAGCCCCCATTCCTCAGTTCCCTGAAGTAATGATCAGTAACGTTGGTTACAGTCTTCACATGGTGGCAACATTCCCGTTACGTCTGCACATGGCCTGTCGTTTCCATTGGCTTAAACTTCCTACCCTCCAGCTTTCTCATCTAAGCTTTAAAATAGCTGCTGACCTTCTGTTGTTCTTCTTGTATGGATAATTGTGGGTTAATACACTGGACCACAAGGTTGTTTTGAACTGCAAGGCTAGTGGTTTAAACTCACCAGGTGCTCCTCAGAAACCCTATACAGGGTTGCTGTGAGTCAGAACTGACTTGACGGCACTGAACAACAACATATGGATAATTACAACAAACAAACACATAAACAACAACAACAAAAATACAGTACTCAGGAGTTACAATCTTTACTCTTTGGACTAAAAGCGACTTCTGGGGACAGTTTTCAATTTCAGATTTGAAGCAGCAACTCCGGGCCATAGCCTTGGGGATTCTTCAGACTTCAGTAGGTCCAGTAACTTTGGACTCTTCAAGAATTTGAAGTTCTGTATTTTTCTCTCTTTATTAGGATTCATCTCTTGTGTCCTTAATCAGGACTTTAATGGTGGTTGCTGGCCATGGTCGAGTTCTTCTGGTCCCAAGTGGAGGAGATCAGGGTTCATGAGCCAGTGATGATCATTAGTTCTGAACTCATCAGCAGCTTCTGCTTTTGGAGGACATTTCTCATATCCTTGTTCATTTAAAAGAAAATGAGCTAATAATTTCAGAATTCTGTGTTCTGAGAAAGGGCATTGTGCTAGTACTACGTGCCGTGGAGTCGCTTCTGACTCATAGCGACCCAGTACAGGGTTTCCGAGGCTGTAAATCTTTATAGGAACAGAAAGCCTCATCTTTCTCCGCGGGACAGCTGGTAGTTTCGAACTGCTGACCTTGTGGGTCACAGCCCAATTCGTAACCACTACACTACCAGAGCTCCTTCAGAAAGGGCATTACCAGACTGAAAATCAAGTAACAAAGAGCAAAAATCTGTGAATGAACTTAACTAAAATGTTTTTCTTCTAGATTTTTTATTTTGTTGTTGTGTGTGCCTTCAAGTCGGTTCCAAATGATAGCGATCCTGAATAGGGTTTCCAAGAGTGATTGTAGGGTTTGAACTGTCCAGTGCTTATCCTACAGAGCCATACCAGGCCTTATTTTTGGTCACCACTAGTAAACATTATTCTCTGTATATTGCCTTTTCTTGTCTTTTTATGTAAATGAAATCATATTTGTTTTTTTGATTGACTTCTTTCACTTAGCATAATGTCTTCAGGCTCTCAGTACTGTAGCCTATATCAAGACTTCATTTCACCTACTGTCTGAGTAGTCTTCGGTTGTATGTATGTACCACATTGTGTTTATCCACACATCTATTCATGGGCATGTAGGTTGTTTCCACTGTTTGGTTATTGTAAGTAGTACTGAAGTGATAGCATAGTGGTTACAAATTGGGCTGCGAACCTCAAGGTCAGCAGTTCGAAACTACCAGCTGTTCCGTGGGAGAAAGATGAGGCCTTCTGCTCCCATAAAGATTTACAGCCTCGGAAACCCTGTACAGGGTTGCTGAGTCGGAACCGACTCCACGGCACATAACAACAACAACAACAACAACTGCAGTGATACTGGTGTACACAGCTCTTTCTGAGTCTCTGATTTCATTTTTTTTTTTTTGAGTATATACCTAAGAGTGAAATTTCTTGGTGGGTTAATGTGCTGAGATGCAAAGTTGGTTTGAACTGCAAGGTCCGCTCCTCAGAAATCCTATACAGGGTTACTATGTGTTGGAACCGACTCCACGGAACTTAACAGCAATAACATGGCAGTTCTGGACTCCTGGTGTGGCGCTCTAGGATCAGCACTGGACTGGGAACCACAAGGTCGACAGTTCAAACCCACCAGCTGCTCCTCAGAAATCCTATACACAGGATCGCTATGAGTTTGAACTGAGTTGATGGCATGTAACAGTAGCAACAGCAACATGGTAGTTCTATTTTTAGTGTGTTGACGAGTCACCATGCTGTCTTCTACAATGGCTGTACCATTTTATATTTCCATCAGCAGTGGATAAGATTTCCAATTTACCTACTTCCTGCTAACATTTATTTTCTGTTTTGTATTTAACATCTTAGCCATCCTCACTCACTTACAGTCATTGAGTCGATTCCTTCTCAGTAGAGACTCCGTATAGGATTTCTGTGGCGGTACATCTTCTTGGAGGCAGAAAGCCTGATTCGCTGAGGAGTGACTGGTGGCTTTGAACTGCTGACCTTGTAGTTAGAGTCGAGTGCCTATCCTACAGAGCTCCTACTAGCCATCCTAGTAGGAGTGAAATGGTATCTCACTGTGGTTCTGATTCACATGTCTCTGATGTTTGGTGTGTTCGGTGGCCATTTGAACGTCCTCTTTGGTGAAATGTAGATTCAAATCCTTTGTCCATTTTATGACTGGGTTATTATTTTTTGTTGTTCTTAAGTTGTCATAGTTTTATATATATTTTGGTGATTCGATTCTTGTCAGATACGAAAGTAAGTAAAAACATACTGCTATAAAATCATAGAAACCTTTATTTAAAATATCAAAATGTGAGGCTGTGGTTTCTTGGGATAAAGCACTGAACTGCAAGGTCAGTTAGAACCACAAGGTTGGTGGTTCAAACTCACCAGCCACTCCTTGTAAACCGTATTCAGGGTTGCTATGAGTTGGAACTGACCAGATGGCACTTAACAACAAGGTCTTTACACTTCTGAAAGCGGTGTTTCTATCTCCCTTAAGCCTTCCCTGTTTCTGGTGTGGTGCTGGACTGCTTATAAGTTACTGACTGGAAAATGTCTTTCCAAAGACATTTTCCCAGTCAGCAACTTGTCTTTTTACTTTCTCGGTAAAAATTTTTTTAATGAACAGAAGCTTTAATTTTTATGAGATCCTCATTCTTTATTTTGCCATTTGTGCTTTTGTCACTATCTGACTAGTAGATAATCCGTTGTTGAAAACAGGACTTGACAACATTGCCTGTTCTTCTTCTGTTAAGAATGTTATGGTTTTAGTTTAGCTATTTAGTTCCTTAATCCATTATGAATTTGTGTTTGTGTCTAGTGTGAGGTAGGGATCCTGCCTCATTTTCCTGCATGTGGAAATCCAGCTTCCCCAGTCCCTTAAGTCAGTTTTCACCGTTGAATCTCTGACATGTAAGGTTGCCCTCAGTCACAGGCTGAGGGTTTGAGTGGATCATGCCACCCCTGGCCTACCCAGCCATCTCATGCAGTCCTGGGTGCCTGACAGAGGAGTCTCTCAGATACAGAGTAGCCTGGGAGAGCCAGAACTCGACAGGGCTGCCTTATTTTTCTGGGTCCCACCAGTTTTCTGCCTTTGACTGGGTACAATCTTACCACTTTCTTATCATCTCTGTTAGTGGACTTTACTTTAGTTTTTCTTCTCAGTCAGGTTTCAGTCTTTTCTGCCTTCTGGCTTTCCTAGGTTTTACTGTAGCTTATGTGTTTTGCAAGGAGCTCTGGTAGCATAGTGGTTATGAATTGGGCTGCTAATCTCACGGTCAGCAGTTTGAAACTACCAGCTGTTCCGCAGGAGAAAGATGAGGCTTTCTGCTCCCGTAAAGATTTACAGCCTTGGAAATTCTGTACAGGGTTGCTATGAGTCGGAACCGACTTCACGGCACATAACCACCACCACCAATATGTTTTGCATAGAGTTCCTGGGTGGTCTAAACTCCTAATGTTCTTGGCTGCTAACTGAAAGGTTGGAGGTTTGAGACCACCCAGAGGTGGCTTGGAAGAAAGGCCTGGTGGTGTGCCTGTGAAAAGCAGCCATTGAAAACCCTCCAGGGCACCGTTGAACTCTGATACCCATGGAGCTGCCCAGAGTTGGAATTGACTTGACTCAGTCATGCTTTTCTTTACTGGATGTTTTTCCTTCCAGGCTGAGTTCAATACAGTAATAGTGTTGAAATTGAGTAATGTGCCACTTTTGTCTTTCAGTATCCGGAGCGTAATGCAGAAGTATCTTGAGGAGAGAAGGGAAATAACCTTTGACAAGATTTTCAATCAGAAAATTGGTAAGTCCCACTCATCCCGTTGGCACTCTGTCATTTCCGTAGGATGCCTGGTTACATGGCAGTAATGTATACATGCAGGCCCTGATACTTTCTATAAGGAACTCTGGTGGTGTAAGGAGTTAAGTACTGGGATGCTAACCACAGGCTTGGAGGTTCAAACCCACCAGGCTCTCCAGGGGAGAAAGATGAGACTGTCTGCTCCTGAAAAGGTGGACGTTCTCTGAAACCCTCTGGAGCAGGTCTGTGCAGTCCTACAGGGTCGTTGTATGTCAGAATCAACTTGATGGTGGTGGGTTTGGTTTCTGGTTTTTTTTGTGTGTGTGATTCCCAGCTAAGGGTGGAATGAAGGAAATATTACTTAGTTACCAAGATCTGTAAAGACTCTTCGTATTCTTAGCAATCTAGCTTGTGCGTAAACATTGGGAAAACAGGCAAGTTGGGCTCTGTTTTAAGGCAGTTTGGAGGGTGGCCAAAATGACAGGATTGTAGACATAATTACCAAAAGGAGTGCCTCTTGATGTGGCCCCTTGCCATCAGCTAACATGATGTGTTGCCCTCCTTTTAGATATGAGCATTCTCAGCGCCCACAGCTTCTCCTACAGCTGTTTTCTTGTCTGTGGTCACAAAAACCTGGTGTGTATCTGCAGAAACAGGGTTCCACTCTTCTGGTCGAGTGAGGCTGGGGTGCTCCGTCTCATCCCTGCCCACACATTTATAGGTTTTGCATGCAGCTCTTTTAAAAAAATTCTTCATTGTGAATCAGGTGAAGGTTTACAGAGCAGATCAGTTTTCCATTCTACAGTTTATACATGTCTTATTGATTGCCATCCCTGCCATGCAGCGTCAGTTATCCCACTTTCTCCCTGTGTTTCCTTCTCTCCTTTTATACTAACCCTTCTGAGCTTTGTCCTTGGGTCAGTGCTGCTCCTTTGATCTCCTATGGTTGATGATTCTAAGGAAGCCATCCCTCCCTTGTATTACTGCGTGCACAGAACTCTTAACGAGCAGGACATCGACAGTTGTTCTTATTCATGTGACTCTATGTGTAGAATCTCTTCTTAGCAGGCCACGAGGACCGCTCTCTGTTGCATAAGAAGGGGCTTCAAAAAGTTCGTAGAGAAATGCAATGAAAAGATTATGGAAATGTTCTCTAAACTGTTTGAAGCCCCCTTATATGTATATCTGTAGGTATGGAGGGATCGACATGTCCCTGATCACAGTCCAGCTGGTGTGACCAGCACTGGCTGCGGTCTGTGCAGGTATGTTGCATGTAGGGATGCCCTGTTGTTGTTGTCAGTTGCTGTAGAGTTCATTTTGACTCATTGCGATCCCATGTGACAGATTAGATTTGCCCTTATGAGATTTTCTAGGATGCTATCGTTAAGAGAGTCGAACGCCAGGTTTTTTCTCCCATGGAGCCTACTGGTGGGTTTGAATTGCTGAATAGTCAAGTGCTTGACTGTTGTGTCATGAGGGCTCTGCAGTTCCCCTGAAGTCACTGGAAGGGGGATCTGTGAGGAGCGCTCAGGGAATATGTTAGTGTAGAATCTGGGAGCCAACAAGGCAGTGAGAGACTGTGTTCCCACCTGCTGGCAGAGCACTTCTTGTTGTCCAGAAATACCGTCAACCACACTAGTGGACTTCAGAGAGTTCATGGACAAATTCCACTGCCTTGTAATTCCACTTTTCCAAGTACAGTTTGAAGTTCCCCCACCTTCATATTTTGTTCTCAGCCAGGGTAGGATCCATTATGTGGCCTTCCATCTCAACCATATTGTCATTCCGTCCACTGTGGACGGGTAACCCCAGGGCTTTGATGTGAACCCGGCAGAGCTGAATATAAGAAAACAGCATCCTCCCGTCCTTCTTTTGTGCCTTGCCTGCCTCCCAGCATTACTCAGAAAGCTTGCTGAGGAACTCTGCAGCCTCATGTTTAAATTATCTTATTGCTGGAGGAAATGACTTTACGAACATTCCCAGGCATTAGAGCCTTATTACTGTTCTCCAGAACTCTGTTTCTGTATGTAATTCTGTTTGGCTGATGAATAGATGGAGATGAGTGGATCCTGTGGTGACAGTGCTGGATCATCCCTTTCACATACAGACACTGGGGGCGAGGGGGTGAGGTGTGTGCAGACACTGAGAGGTGAAGCGACCTGCCCTGCTTCCCACGTCTCCTTCCTTTCTACTGTGAGAATTCGTGAACTATTACTGGAAAGGAGACAGTGAGTGTAGAATGAAATGTGGAGGGATAAGAACCAGATCGCTTTTTTTAGGAACACAACCAAAATCCACTGCCGTCAAGTCAATTCCAACTCGTAGCATCCCTGTAGGACAGAGAACTGCTCCATATGGTGTCTGAGTCTGTAAGTCTTTGCAGGATCAGACTGCCTCGTTTTTCTCTTGCAGAGTGGCTGGTGGGTTTTAGACTGCCTACCCTTCAGTTTCTCTGCTATTCATAAGGTTTTCAGTGACAAATCTGCTGCACAAGACCTTTTTAAAGTGTTGAAGAGCAAAGATGTCTGCTTGAAGACTAAGGCGTGCCTGACCCAAGCCATGGTGTTTTCAATAACCTCATATGCATGCAAAAGCTGAACAGTGAATAAGGAAGACCATAGAAGAATTGATGCTTTTGACTTACGGTGTTGGAGGAGGATATTGAAAATGCCATGGGCTGCCAAAAGAACCAACAGATCCATGTAGGAAGAAGTGCAGCCAGAGTGCTCCTTGGAGGCCAAGATGGCCAAACTTTGTCTCTCATACTATGGACATATTGTCAGGAGGGACCAGTCGCTGGAGAAGGATATCATGTTTGGCAAGGTGGAAGGGAAGGTCAGAGAAAAAGAGGAAAACCCCCAACGAGATGGACTGGCCAAGTGGCAGCATCAATGGACAAAAGCGTGGCAACAATAGTGAGGTTAGCCCAGGATTGGGCTGTGTTTCGTTCTGCTGTGCATAAGGTCACTACCGACTTGATGGCCCTAACAACAACCCTTCAGTTAGCAACCCAAAGCTTAATCTGCAGTGCCACCAGGGTTCACATTTCAGGATGCTAGAAGTCCAAATTCAGGGTGTGTCTCTAGGGGAAAGTCCATTTTTGTGTATTTCAACTTCTAGCAGTTGCAGGAATTCTTAGCATTCCAGGTCTTGTAGATGCATCTTCTGATTTTTTTTTTTTTTTTTGTGTGTGTGTGTATGTGTATCTGCCTTCATGGGGCATTTGCCTCCCATGTGTATCTCTGTGTCTGTTCTGGTCTTTGTATAACTCATAAGTGACTAGGTTTGAGGGGGGCCATACAATTCTGGCATGCACTAATTAACATAACAAAAGAAGACCCTGCATGTCTTTTCATTTTGCCCTTAAAAAAGAGAAAATTGTAAGTGTTGGACTGCAAAGTTGGTTTGATCCACAAGCTGCTGCTTGGGTCAGGACCGACTTGACGGCACTTAAAGGCAACAATAAACTTAACAAGAAAGGATAACTGTATTTTGAAGGGAAAGAGAGAAGGAATTATTTATTTACTAAAATTTTTAAAATTTCATTTTTTACACCTTTATTGAGATGTAAACCATGAAGTTCACCCAGTGGAAGTACAGAGGGGTGCAGTAGATTTCAGTTTATTCAGAGTTGTGTAGCCATCACCACTATCTCAGTTTAGATTAGGATCTTCAATGCTCCTTTTCCCCTGCTTACCCAGTCACCAAAACCCACAAGCATTTGTACACAAATAACACGCTCCTTCTAAATTTGTCTGTCCACTGGCCCCTCTCCCCTGAGAGGTAACACCACTATGCCAAGTTTTTTTTTTTCTTTTACATGTTGCTGTAAACATTAGCATACTGTGCTTATGAAAATATCTCCCAGGGGCAGGAGGGAGCGGTTGTCAAACATGAATAGATGGCAGGGTTATTTGCATACAAGTGCAGTAATCTGTTTACTATCTCTGTGGCTTGACCTATTCTGGACATTTCACAGGAATGGGATCATACCAGCAGCCTCTTGTGACTGGCTTCTTCCTATCAGCCTGTCTTTCAGTTCCATCTACTTTTTAACTAGCTGATAGACATTTAGGTGCTTCCCACTTTTAGGCTGTCATGAACAATGCTGTGGTGAAAAGAAAGTCTTTGCATTTGTTGTTTGAACAAGTGATTCTTTATTATTAAGATATAACTGGTAGACTTGTACACCAATGTTATTGTAGCAGTATTCACAACAGCCAAAGGCGAAAACAATCTGCATTCCCATTAACAGATGACCCAACAAACACAATGTGGTATATACATACAGTGGAATACTGCTCAGTCAGTTGCTGTTGTTAAGTGCCATCTAGTCGGTTCCAACCCATAGCGACCCTGTATAGGGTTTCCGAGGAGCGACTGATGAGCTTGAACCATCGACCTTGCAGTTCAAATGGCTTGCAGTCTGGCGCATTAACCACAGTGCCACACCAGGACTCAGTCAGTAGGAGAAATGAAATTTTGATACATGCTACAGTATGGGTGGAGTATGAAGACATCATGCTGAGTGACATAAGTCAATTACAAAGGACAAATATTGTATGTCCTCTCTTATAAAAACAGACAAGAAAAGGCAAATGTGTAAAGAATAATATTAATTAGTGGTAACCAGGGATAAGAGGGAGGGGGGAAAATGGGTTAATGATGGAAAAACCCCATTGTTAAGGATAGGGTTGTATAGTTTATTACTGTAATTGCTGTCAATAAGTTGTATAGCAGTATATTTACAACAACAATAAAAAACAATAGTTGTTGAGACGGTTTATGCACAATCAAAACCTCGTGGGATTTGCTTTCTTGGTTTAGAGATTTAGGGTCATGGTTTCATGGGACATCGCCGTTAATTTATTGCGTTGGGTCTTCAAAGCTTGCAAATGGTCATTCAAAGCACAACAGTTGGTTTGTATCCCACATGGAGCAACAGTGGAAGGAGCAGAATCAGGACTAGCAGAAGGATATGGAATGTGTGGCTAATTGTCTCC